GGCAGCGACTGGACCCTCGGGCGCACACGGCCAGGAAGCCCGCGCTTGTGGGGCCGAGGCCGTGGGCAGTGTCCAGGGTCCCGGGGTCCGGGGGGGGCCCTGAGGACCTGCCTGCCCTGCTCTCCCGCTTCACACGGGCAGTGTGAGCGGCCTGAGGCTACTTTAGGCCCTTTTCCGTCGTGGCTCTTTTCTCACTGTTAGATGTGGGGTGTCAGGGCAGAGGGGGCCCCAGAGGCCGGGGCGGAAGTCACGCAGGCTTTCGGGGCGACTCCAGGGCGACAGTGGCCCCTCACGACCACCAGCGAAACGCGTGAATAAACGTCACCACACGCCACCGAGGACAGGGCTGCGGCCGCAGGGACGGAGGCCGCTCACGGCCGCCCGGGGAGCCGCCGTCCCTCAGGGTCTCCCAGGAAAGCCAACCGCGAACTGCCAGGGTTTCTGGGGAGGACATGCGGTTCCCGGGGACCAGCGGGCTCCTGCGGCCCAGCGCCCCTGGCGGCTGGACAGGCCCTGGCGTCCTGGAAAGGACCGGAGCAGGGTGTCCGGCCCTCGCACGAAAAGGCCAGGTCTTTCTCTTTCCCTCAACTTTCCACAGTTACTTTGATTTTGCGTTTTAGCGTCCAGCTCTGATCGCATTCCCGTCTCACAGACTCGGGAAATGTGTTCATTTCTAAGAAAAATAATCGAAGCTAAACTGGTACATTCTGAGCACTTTGCCTCCTGCTCCCCCTCTTGGAAAAGCCTCCCCCAAATCCACCGTCTCCGCACCAGCCCCCACCGCCTCTCCCCCAGATCCTGCGGGGGCCTCTCGCTGTCGTGGCCCCCTGGTGCTCGCCCGCTGGGTCTGGGAGGACCCAGGTTCCCATTCTGGCGCCCACCGGAGTGAGCAGGGGCGGCCCCCCAGGCCCCGGGCGATGGCCCCCATGGGGAGGAAGGTGCGGGTGGAGCCGGGGGTAGGGGTGGGTGTGGCTTCTGCACAGTGCTGACTGCTGTCCGCCACCAGATGGGACAGGCCACTCTCCCCGGGGACCCGGACGCTCCCTCAGGGCCCGCTGACACCCGGTCAGCCCAAGGGACTTCGGATGAAAACTCCTCAGGGGCACTCTCAGGGAGGGCCGGACAGATGTGGGTGGCCCTGACCAGCGGGCAGGGCTGTGACCGAAGGGGAAGCAGAGCCAGGGGCCGCTGCCGGGGTGGGGGCTGGGCCTCCCGACCGGGGAGGAAGTGCTGAGTCAGGCGCTGTGGGTCTCGAGGTC